AATTCTAAGAAAAAAGAGATTAATAATTTTGGTAGACGACAGCAGTTTAAGAACAACTTGAGAAGTGAAATCAAGTAAAACTCCATACCGGAAAATTTAATGGGCAAAGATCATCGGATGAGCTTTCTACATCCGGAATGAGAAGATTAAAAAAGGTTAATCGAAGCTTTTTGCTGAATGTGCAGAACTTTGTGGAGACGTTGAACAACTCGTGGGAGGTGGTGTAAGTAATCCAGACGTGACAGCAGCTTGAGCTGAACATGACGGTGATAGCGGTGGCATTGTAGGATATTTCTGAAATATCTGCATTAATCCAAAGCATTTAAGGCGAAAGTAAGAATTATACTTGAACGACGTCAGGTCTAAGTTTTTGCGCATTTCTGTACTCTCAACAGAAATTTTTTTATAGATGTGGCTTTGCATAAACCTCACAATCACTATACATTTGCAAGCTACTAGAGATGTTGATGTAGGATTTTATGATTCTCTTTTACATTAACCGGAGCTGGATGTGATTATCACGATGAAGCGAACTGAAGCTGCTGGAAATTAGAATCATTTGCCGGAAAAGGTTTGTTTGTTTCCATAAAGCGGTTCAAACCTCTGCGAAAAAAAGGCTAGGAAAGAAAATCACAAAAAGCTTACCTATATTATCTCCATCAACAAATAATAGAGTTTTCTTTAATACAAAACATTCTTTACACTAATAGAAATTGCAAGTGGCAAAATCAAGAAGAATCAGAAAAGAAAAAGAAATGAAAGCATGGCTTTCAAGAAAAGCAAAATTCCTTTTAACGAAATGCCAACCCCTCTCATAGCAAGACAGTCAGACAGCCAAATAATCAAAATACTACAAATGAAATTGAAGTTCGAATATAAATACAAATGACTTACTCCCACACTTGCACCACGTACTCCAAGATGGCGTTCATACTCTGTTAGTTGTCCCATGAAATGGAAGTTTGGAGCTATGCTTGCATTCCTGCGCAGCACCAGATCGTAAGCATCTTCCAAGCTCCATCTAAGAAAGTGCAATTGCATCCGCTCTTAATCACCGTAGTACATATGATAGAGCTCACTTGTTTTTTGCCATCAGGTATGCAAGACACACAGTGACGCTACGAGAAATCCCGGCTAGACAATGAACCAGACAAGCATCACCGGCACGTGCAGCAGCATCCACAAAAGCAATCGCTTCTAAGAGAAACACTGGATAGACAATAAGGAGAAAGGAAAGCGAAATGTAGATTTTAACCTACCCGGGAAAAATTGTGTTAAATTGTGTGAACTGTTATCGTCAACAGAAATCCTCAAGTAGTGGAATGACGGGTTATCTTCAAAAGTGTTCGGAAGATTTGAAGTAACATTGATGATATAATGAACACCAATCCTAAATAAATTTGAAATGATATATGCATCAATGCGGATAAATTTAAAAAAAAAAACAATGCCGTGAAGAGAGAAGGAAAAGAGAAATTGTCTATTTACCAACATTTACTTTACATTAACTCTCCATAGTGCAAATCTTCAGTTT